CCTGACTGATGAAGTGATTTTGAGAGCTTGGCCTTTTAGCAAGTTCTTCCATTTCTGCAGAGGACCTCTGAATCTCTTGCCACCTTGCTGCTAGGCAAATGCAACATGGACGCCAAAACGCTCCTCATTGTTCTCTTGACATTCTTCACTTCTTCCCAAGAAATGTGGACTTATTTTATATTTAAATACCATACGGAGGAACAAGAAATTAGATTTACAATATATTAACTTAGCATCCACCGGAATATTCATTTCATGGCATCCTCCATTTCTGTAAATGCCAGCAAACGCTTCATAACTCGTGAACTTTTTTCTTTAAAATAGGACACATTGCATATTGGATTGTTTGCAAAACATAGTGTTTATGCGATGGACACTACTTTCTTTGTTCCATTGTGGAATTTGTGAGGGCACTGTTCATCGAACACTTAAACAGTGGAGGGTAAATATAGTGCACTTATTCTGTCCACTGCTTGTGTGGCTCTACACAAGGTGACAGATAGCTAAACAGATGCGGGTTAAATGATGAAGTGAGACGAGGAAGTAAAGTTGAGGGCTGTTTGCTTGTCTTTCTTCATCTACTTGCATTCTTACAGTGTTTTCCAACTACTCTGTGAAACTAAGAGCAACCACACAAAAAGCTTATTAATGTAACTAAAAACAGTGCAGACATGTACATGATGAAATTAAACAGATGGCTGCACTACACATGGCAAAAAGATGATGTAATGATCTATAAATCTAACCAAATTTGTTTTTATACAAATTTGATTTTACACTATATAGTCAATACTATAAAGTCAAAACACGTAATATTACTCAAAGCTTCTCCAGTGTTCAACACAGGTACAATGCTTTGGCAATATTGTTGTTATACATTCATGCCAATAAAGCTAATTTGAATTTGAATTTGAATTTTACAGGTGGATGCCGAAGATTAAACAAAGATGTCCTAAAGCCCCTTATTTTCCCAAACTAATTGTCAGTCTGAACTATAACCCTACCCATGTGATCACAATTTACCAATACAGCAAAGACATTCAGTTGACAGCAGTCTTAAAGCAAACACTAGGAGGTGCTAGCTGCCCTTAACCTGCATGTAATGTAACAGCACTGTTATAGTAAATAGGGAGTGATTTCAAACACAGCCCTGTTATTGTTACTGGCTCACTGTCACACCATCATGGCATACTGTGACACTCAAACAGAACAGAGCCATCGTTAATGTTATTAGTAACACCTGTGCTGTGCAAAATGTCTGCCGTACACAAGGCATAAAGAAATTGATAAGAATGATAACAAAATTTCAGACATTTGCTTAAAAATTGTCCAGCACTTTAACAAAAACTGCTTGCGCGTTTACTCAGCATAGTTTGGAGAAAGACATTAAATGCAAAAATACATATGATATGATAATATGTTTTTCAAGATCACTCTGAGGTCAGAATGCCACTTCTCTTCAAGTGACAGAGAAGAAAAATGGTGATGTGTTCGTGTGTCATCTTCTTTTGTGTCAGTTTCATGGCCATGTGTGCACTCGAGCTGTGTCAAATCCAAATAAGACTGATATAAACCGAGCTAAGCTCACAATAAACTGAGCTCCAGGGTTGTCAAACACCCTAAAAAGTACATAAGAAGCAGATTATTGACTCTTTTTGTAATGCAAACCGCTGGAACAAACAGCTTGTAATCTGTTTTAAAATCTGCCTCTCATCCGTGCGGCTTCAGCTCAGCCTGACAGCATAAATAAGCGTTTATAAGAATTGTTGGCAGCAGTGTGTTTTCTCACTGCAATGGTGCTTGTTAGCATTGATTTGCATTTATTAATACAGCTTTGATTATGTGTGCATTTGCATTTGCACTCAAATGACTCTACTACATATTATTAAAACTGGGTCATTGTAGAAGCTGATAAAGGTGGCTCTTTATGTGGAGAATGTCCTCCGCTGCCTCAGATGTGCTTTAGAGGTGCTGCTGTGCATTAGCAGTGGCAGATATAGTGTTGGATCACCTCAGATTGTTGGAAAACACCCAAGAAACTGAAACGTATGAGATTGGGAATGTCTTTAATCTCTAGCTTGCATTTGCTGCTACTCAGAGAGAACATTGAAATGATTGTGAGGTTCGGTTGGCCGACCACAGTAAAATAAGAATAAAACAAAGAGAAAGAAAGTGACATTTGGGGACTTTTTTTAAATGCTAAACACTACATCAAGTCTAAATGCCAGACAAAGTAATTTACAAGACCAGTGACTCTGTGCTGTTTTGTAAAGGGGGAGTGGTGAGCCCGTCCTCTGACTAATTTATAACACCGTTATGGTGACAGATAAAGTTAATAGAGTCAGTGTAAGACAATAAGATGACCAATCTACCTGACATTATTTCCTTTACCCAGAGCATTTCTGTCTATTTGGGCAACAAAAGACTATTTGTTTCCACAGTGTCAGTGTCACAGCACTGTGACTTTCATACTGTTGGTTGCATGCACTATAAGAGGTTGAAATTAAAGACTTTTCTGCACTTCTGTTGCAGTGTACAAACTGTTCGTTTGTTTATGTTAGTAATCAGATGATAATGGCAGATCCGCTCTTCGTTGAGAAATGTTTTTAGTCCCCAAACATAGAATAATTGTACAGAAAGTTTTGTGGGGGCTTTTTGCCTTTATTTCAGATAGGATAGGGAGAGACAGGAAATGAGAGAGGGGATGACATGCAGCAGAGGGCCGCTGGGGTAAGGACTCCTTGTACATGGGGAACGTGCTCTACCTAGTGAGAAAGTTAAGTGTATCATACCTAAACCAAGCAAGGCAGACATACAGTGGGTACGGAAAGTATTCAGACCCCTTTAAATTTTTCACTCTTTGTTTCATTGCAGCCATTTTCCAAAAATCAAAAAAGTTCATTTTATTTCTCAGTAATGTACACTCAGCACCCCATCTTGACAGAAAAAAACAGAAATGTAGAAATTTTTGCAAATGTATTAAAAAAGAAAAACTGAAATATCACATGGTCATAAGTATTCAGACCCTTTGCTGTGACACTCTGACACACTGTCTATTTCTTCTGATCATCCTTGAGATGGTTCTACACCTTCATTTGAGTCCAGCTGTGTTTGATTATACTGATTGGACTTGATTAGGAAAGCCACACACCTGTCTATATAAGACCTTACAGCTCACAGTGCATGTCAGAGCAAATGAGAAACATGAGGTCAAAGGAACTGCCTGAAGAGCTCAGAGACAGAATTGTGGCAAGGCACAGATCTGGCCAAGGTTTCAAAAAAATTCTGCTGCACTTAAGGTTCCTAAGAGCACAGTGGCCTCCATAATCCTCAAATGGAAGACGTTTGGGACGACCAGAACCCTTCCTAGAGCTGGCCGTCCGGCCAAACTGAGCTATCGGGGGAGAAGAGCCTTGGTGAGAGAGGTAAAGAAGAACCCAAAGGTCACTGTGGCTGAGCTCCAGAGATGCAGTTGGGAGATGGGAGAAAGTTGTAGTAAGTCAACCATCACTGCAGCAATCCACCAGTCGGGGCTTTATGGCAGAGTGGCCCGACGGAAGCCTCTCCTCAGTGCAAGACACATGAAAGCCCGCATGGAGTTTGCTAAAAAACACCTGAAGGACTCCAAGATGGTGATAAATAAGATCCTCTGGTCTGATGAGACCAAGATAGAACTTTTTGGCCTTAATTCTAAGCGGTATGTGTGGAGAAAACCAGGCACTGCTCATCACCTGTCCAATACAGTCTCAACAGTGAAGCATGGTGGTGGCAGCATCATGCTGTGGGGGTGTTTTTCAGCTGCAGGGACAGGACGACTGGTTGCAATCGAGGGAAAGATGAATGCGGCCAAGTACAGGGATATCCTGGACGAAAACCTTTTCCAGAGTGCTCTGGACCTCAGACTGGGCCGAAGGTTTACCTTCCAACAAGACAATGACCCTAAGCACACCGCTAAAATAACGAAGGAGTGGCTTCGCAACAACTCCGTGGCTGTTCTTGAATGGCCCAGCCAGAGCCCTGACTTAAACCCAATTGAGCATCTCTGGAGAGACCTGAAAATGGCTGTCCACCAACGTTTACCATCCAACCTGACAGAACTGGAGAGGATCTGCAAGGAGGAATGGCAGAGGATACCCAAATCCAGATGTGAAAAACTTGTTGCATCTTTCCCAAAACGACTCATGGCTGCATTAGATCAAAAGGGTGCTTCTACTAAATACTGAGCAAAGGGTCTGAATACTTATGACCATGTGATATTTCAGTTTTTCTTTTTTAATAAATTTGCAAAAATTTCTACATTTCTGTTTTTTTCTGTCAAGATGGGGTGCTGAGTGTACATTACTGAGAAATAAAATGAACTTTTTTGATTTTTGGAAAATGGCTGCAATGAAACAAAGAGTGAAAAATTTAAAGGGGTCTGAATACTTTCCGTACCCACTGTATAGATCAACTAGGTAGGAAAAGTGCAGTTTGAGATGGAGATGGTGTATCAGCTTCATTCAGCACAGATAATGGTCTCGACACACCTCAGAATGTTGACCTTGAAGTTAAAGCTACAATAATAAGTTAAGGCTCATTATAGGAAACAGGTACGGTCCAAGGTGGTGTTTAGTATGGACATCATTATACTCTTTCTGCTGCCGCCTCCAGGCCCAGCCCTTTAATAGAATGTGAAATTGCATATGGCCTTTTCAATTACATATTAAACAGTTCTGGTCTTGAACCTGCCAGTGAGCAGAGAATACTTTAATCTTTGTGTAATTATATCTTTTCGCTGCCCAACCTGAGAAAGTCACAACTTTTAACAAGAAACCTACATGCTAATTATCTTGCTGATCCATTAAAGATTTTATACACCTCCACCACCTCCACCTGTTACATTACCTCTCTCTGACCTTTGACCTATGAACCTGTGCATGTGACAGTGTCTGCCTGGTCCATCCTCACCGCCTTGCTCAGTCCCCCCCGCCACGCCTCTGTGTTCCCTCCCCTCCCCGCAGGTTGGTGACCAGATCTTGGAGGTGAATGGGCGCAGCTTTCTGAGCATCCCGCACGACGAAGCCGTCAGGGTCTTGAAGTCGTCACGACACCTGATGATGACGGTGAAAGACGTGGGCCGCCTGCCGCACGCCAGGACAGTGGTGGGTGAGACCAAGTGGATCGCCAGCTCACAGATCGCAGAGAGCTCCGCCAACAGCAGCATGGCAGGGTGAGTTTTGATTGGGCCCAAAAAATCTGAGCCAGTAACACTTATTAATACCCAAACCAAGTGCTGTAATTACATTTTGAGAAATGAAACATCAAGGGAAAAATTCTGCTTAATTTAAATTACCTTTCTTTTAGTTATTAATCTTTATCCATTGTTATTAACAAGTAAATAGCCTTTTAAACTCTACTAGCCACAGAAAAAAACACAGAGCAGTTACACACGCAGCGCATAAAAGCACATGCAACAAAATGAACAAAAAAAAGCAGGGGAAAACAGCTAGCCTAGCTCTGTCTAGCGGTAACAAATTCTGTCTACCAACACCTCTTAAGCTCACTGCTAAACACGTTATTACAAACTTGTTTGTTTGATACATACAAAAACCTAAAGTTACTGTATATGCTGGACTATTTCTTCTAACTTCCTGCAATCCCACAGTTTTCAGTCTTTGTAATAAGCTTAGCTAACTGTCTCATGTCTGTAGCGTGAGCTATTTCTTTAAGTGGGATCTAGTTGGACACAGTTCAGTTTGGGTTTAGAATTAGAGCTAAAGAAGAGAAGTGAAGAGAAGCAGAGTGATACCTTTGACAGGTATTTAACCTGTAAATGTAAATATATTATCTTATTTTTTGTGAAAACTGTTGGGCTTTATAGTGCGATTTTCAACACTGATCATTTTCATTAGATCAGTTAGTCAGATAACTTACTCAGCCTGACTTGTTGCAGGTAACAAAGAGGTGTTTAAATTTTATGGGAGTTACCAACAAGTAAAGAACTATCATTAGTCGCCTGATTAACACAATAATGAGTGTGACATTTTATTTACAGTGTCTTGGGGCAACAGTGATCTAATTTGACTTGTTTAACTACCAAAATCACTGAACACTTTAATGAAATCACAGATTTTAGCTTTTACTCTTTTTGTTTAACCAATTAAACAAAATTGAAACTACGCTAGTTTTAATGATGAAAACTGGTACGAGAGAAGCTTGGGACTTGAGCGCAGTGCAGCAGAAAAAAGACTTCACAGAGATAATGAAGAGAACACCAAGAAAAGACATCCTCTCCTCCCTAGACTAAAGTAGATGCCACAGTCTTTAACCGCCTAATGTGATCAGATGCCTGTCTCTCGGATGGCAGAAGTTTCATTTGCTCCTTTTCACAGGATAAATAAAAATGCACCTGACCCAACAACCAAATCAGAGGCTGATGTAAATTCCAGACTAATTTTCTCATTAACTTACACACAACCCATGAGCCCGACAACTCTTTGATTCCCCAAAACAAATGAGGCTATAAAGGGTATTTAACTTTTACGTCGACAATGAATTTCAAATTCTGTCATGGTTATTATAGTATTTCTTCCAGAGGCAACACAGCTTTAACAGTAGAGACAGATGGTTGTTCTCAGTATGAATTCATTTATTTCACTCTGGTATCTCTCTGCAAGAACATGAAGACATAGTCGAAACAACAGCACTATTTTTTTTCTTTCATTTGGGACTTAAAAAATTCCCTTATTTCACTGCATTTACATAAATGTAACATATAAATGTACATACTTTCCGCAGATTTTTAGTCATATAAAAAGGAAAATTTGTAATAAGTAGAGTTGAAATGTTGGCTGCTGTGCTGCCTTAAAATATTTTTTTTACTAACCAAGTTGTCTCTTTCTCATGGAGCATACATGAATATATAATACTATGGATTTAGCCTAAAATACTGTTTTACAAGTGACTTTGCTTTCTTCTGCTTGTGTCATTTCCATGTTGCATATTTTAAATCAGTGAGATTATAGTGCTGCACACAGTGTCTCACTTGGTTTCTTTTCCTTACTGCCAATTATCTGGCAGTACAAAGAGAGCAGCCAGGGAGGAGGCATTTGAAAAATCAGTATAAAGAGAGAATAAGAGGCTGAGTTGATCTCAAAAGTCAACAGGGCTAATTGAATTTGAATCCCAAAACAGGTGTCCACGCTGAGCTTAAAGTGGTATTGCAGGTGGGACTGCAGTATTTTTCAGACTCAGTTTAACTAGCTATTATTTTTTTGTTATTTGCCCCTTTCAGCGCTTTCAGTTTTCACGTTTACTCATAGATTTAAAGTCTATGACTTTGTGGGCACTTGGGGATGTAAGGACATGTAATCGAGTCATTTCACTTGGGCAGGAGTATGGGGGCTCAAAAAATGAAACACTTGCTTTTATGTTTGCAGAGAGAGTGGGTGTGTGTGTGTCTGTGACGTGCATTTTGATGTCTGCGCCTTTAAATATATTGAAAAGCATGACTGATGCACGCTTCACGTTTTCTGTAAAAATGTGCCAACCTGCCACATCTCTAAAGAACATGAAAGCCATGACTGAGATTTAAAAATCAGTGGTACTGAGCATTTATCAGCCTGTGATAAATGAGAAATATGTTCAAAAAGATGACAAGCTGTCAGTCAAGATTTTAAATCCTCTTTACCATTCCTATCTCCAAAATGTGCGTGTGTGTGTTTGAGAGAGAGAATATTTTAGTGACACAATTGGTGAAATAAGCTGTTTACTTTTAACTGATGAATTACTCTTGAAGTGTCCCCCAGTGATTCATGTGTCCTTTTCATCTGTTTCTCTGCAGCTTCTCGGTGGACAAAGGAGCCTCTGCAGCAGGAAAGGTGAGATTCAAAAGAAGGTTACTTCTTCGTTGTGTGTGTATGTGTGCACATGAAAACAGGACCATATGTATGTGTGTTGTGTGTTTCTCTTGGGACATGATTGTCAGTGTGTCGGGCCCTGTGTTAACTGTACTACTGTCGATGGGTCAGTGGTGTCGCCGAGCGCTCTGTCAGTCCTGTGTCATCGGATAGGGAACAACTGTGCCTGTAAAGTCTCACCTTTTACCTGTCAAACCCACATTTTAATGTCTTGGCTAAAAAAAGTTATGGATTAAAAAATAGCTTTTTTTCCTTTCTTTTATTTATGTGTAATCCTAAACTCCAATCAATCAATCAAAAATCTGAAAAAATAATAACAATAACAACAAAGTGAACTTAAGTAACCACTGATTGATTGATTGATGATATGTTATTTACACACGTTTATATTCAAACAGAAAACGCAGGGCACAATTGATTAATCGCATATTGGATAGACTCAGAAAATTGACATGCTGGTTCCTGTTTTTTGAATGTCAGGACAAGTGGCTTTTCTCTGTTTCCGAATTTTGGGTTCTGAGATCCCATGATGGGCAATTTACACAGTTTAAAATATTTTACTTAACGATTAATCCAAAAATAATTGAAAAATGAATTAATAATGATCAGCATTGTAATCCTACTGCAGATGTAAATGTGCTGCAATGCTGGAGCACATGCTGGTGCTCCATGAATGTCAACTTTCAGACATGGGTGATTGCTCTGACCAGCAGGGAGTGCTACTGCATTATTTGAATTTCGTTAGTTTTGCACTATTGCAGGCTGTCAGCACTGGGGCTGAGAGCAGCGCTTAATGTGTGGTAACAGACCACATGGGGCTATAGATTGTATCTAGGGCTGGACACGTTAACGCGATAATAACACGTTAACCTGTTACAATCTATAGCCCCATGTGGTCTGTTATAGCCCCATGTGGTCTGTTACCACAATCTAATTAATTAACGGTGACAATTATTTTATCGCATGTTAACACAGTTTTTTGTTATTATTATCATTATTATTTTGAAAGTCCGTTTCTCACTGGCTCTGAATACACATCCAGTCAAACCGAGGGGTGGGAGTTGATCAACCTGCAAATCACCCACCCAAACAAGCAGTGGAAGGAGGCTTCGGCAGACTACGCTGGATGCAGCTGGATGCATTCTTAAAATTTCAATGTAGTTGCTTGGCCCCGCGGGGTTGCACTGCACTTCTCAGGTGAACAACAGGGAGACAAGCGTTCTATGGATACTAACTATGGCAACAGCGTCTGTGCACTACACAGCTCTAGCCTATTTAACTTAAGTTAAAATTATAAGCCTCTTAACTTTACCTGATAGGCATACATCTAGTTTTGCGGGGATGCTCTGCCAGGCGAATTACCCTCCTGTTGATGTCCTGATAACTATTTAGTAAACAGTAATAGATTCTGAAAACTCACAAACAGCGAGGATCAGTCTCTCTTTCAATGATTTGCGTACAAATAGTTCAGGACAAGTCAACTTCGGCGCAACACTTTCACGGGAATGCGCCTGCGTGTCGCTACAGCCTTGTGCCCGACCACTTCACCTCACTGTAACAGGGACACTTGCTACAGAACATAAACTGTTTATGCTGCTCCCTGATGAAAGAAAAATGTTTCTGCTGATACCTGTTCAGAAACAAGAAAACAAGAAAACAATTTATAGGTTAACCTGTTGCTCAGAAGGTGCCTGTTATGATGTTATGATTGTGGTTGTGGACTCTGATGGTAACTTGTAAAAAGTTAGTTGTTTATGGTGAGATTTATAAGAAATATTTTATTGTTACTGTGTAAAGGGAATACTGCTGGTAAAAAGCACCTTATTTGTTTAAAGTGTTTGCAAACTACATGTTACTGTTACTATATAGCAGTGCATTTAAATTAAAAGTGCGCAATACTCTACTTTAGAATTCATTATTCAATTGCAGAGGTGAGGACTCCAGTCACATGGCTTAGACTCGAGTCAGCCTCTAGTCACAAAAATGATGACAATGATTTGACAAAATCAAAGAAGACTTGCGACTCGACTTTGACTTGAACAGCAATGACTCCTGACTTCACTTGGACTTGAGCCTTTTGACTCGAGCTGACTTGACACTCCCCATGCCCGAATATAAATTATGATATTAAAAAAATTGCGCATCAACATAGCGCTGTGCTCAATTAGACTGGAGCGTGTGGCTTCCTCCAGCAAGAGGGACAATCACCGACCGTCCGAAGAGCACCCGGCCGTTCCGCGATGTCCTGTTCCTGCCCTGTACGCCCCAGCGACCCACTCCCTCTCCGGTACCTATGGGTTGTGTAGTAGGCCTACTACCGGCGGGCCGTGAACCGTTCGTGATCGTTCCCTCTGGCTGGAGGAATTTTACGCATAATTCATGCACAACAGCTGGGTGCCTGACGCAGCACCACGCAACTTTCTAAATTCCTCCACCTCACGGAGAAAAAGAAAAGTCAGGTCGAAACAGTGTAGAGAGACTGCTGCAGCATGAAGCTGCTTCCACCAATTATAAAACCAAGTTAATTAACACAAAACGATAATAGCGCCGGGTGCTGTTTCAAAACGACACTCGTTTTGTTTTATAAATCCAGCAAACCCCTTTCCTTCAAAGCTGAGGCTCTCGTCCCTCCGTAAGAGGTGTGTTCAGTGTTGCTTTACCTGATCGGTTCTTGTAAAATATCCACGGTGTCTGCGTCTTCTAACGTCATAGCGATTTATAGTTTTCTCACTGCTGGTTTCTGTCACTGCATCTCGCGACAAAACAACACGGTTTTATTTCAGCGTTCTGTAACGTAACTTCGTCAACTCGAATAGTTCACCTGTCACCTGCTCTGCTCCCCTCCGTGTACACACACACACACACACACACACACACACACACACACACACAGCCCCCTCAGTGACCCATCCGTCACCCAAAGCTGTCAATTTGGGGGAAACTATGCTGCTGTCGTCCTCTTGCGCACTAGATGCTGCTTAAAGTTAATAATGTTGGATTATTGTTTCTTATTTCATGGGCTATTTGGGATTTTTGAGTAATGCATATATAGTAGCCTAGTTTTTAAAAAGAAAGTATTACATTTCAATAGTTAATGTTTCCTAAGTCAATGAGTAATCCTGTTAAATAACTGTTAACTCAGTATTGACCAAAATAATTAGCAGCCCTACATGAACAATTATTTAATTCATGAAATTTGTTGTGTGAAACTATGCCTCTGCCTTCTTTGTGTACAGGCTAATGCTTCATTCAATACATTGTTTTATTTTTAACTTTTGAAATGGTTTTTAAATTTGGTGAGTTTTTAAATTTGGTGAGGAATGCATTATCTTTAGGACTCGAAACTCAAAGTTTAAGACTTGGACTTGACTTGGACTTGTTGGTCCTTGACTTGAGACGTGACTCGGACTTGCCACTCATGATCGGTCTGGACTTGGGACTCGACTTGGGACTTGAGTGCTAAGACTTGAGACTTGACTCGGAGTTGTAAATCGATGACTTGGTCCCACCTCTGGCTAATTGTATCCATAAAATCGTGTGTTTTAGTCTTTAGTGGTCAAACCTCAAGCGTTACAACTGATAATCTAAACCAGATACTTTAAGGCTTCCCAAAATCTCATTGCCCCAAAGGCTATCCGAAACACCCCATCAGCAAAAACAGACCTTGTGTAACAATACCATGAATCTGTCCTCACTCACTCCCCATAAACTGTACTTCTAGTGTCTTTCATTTTGACTTTGACTGTGACTTTGCAAATGTAGAGAGGGTGTGTTGGAATGGAGAAATAAGAGGAGGAACGTTGGAAGAGACAGCAGCTGACAGCAGAGAAAGAAAGGGGGGGAGAGAGAGGGGAGGGGGGGGGGGTAGAAGGTAAGAGGGAGAGCTCACTTTCCATTACGGAAGCTGGATGGACGGATGGTCTTCTCCTGACAGTGGGGGGAGGCGATATACTGTAGCAACACTGTAAGAGAGAACAGAGAGATGGATGTGGGAGGTATTTTGGGAGTAAGAGGAACAATTTCCTCCAGAGTTAGGTCCAAAGAGGGTTTAAAAATAATTGATAGCCTTTGTTTTGACCTGTTGCCTTACAACACACCAGCAGTGGCTGTGATTACCTGCCCTTTTTGTCCATGGTGCCCTTTTCAGACAGAAAAACTAAGATGGATTGTATAAGGGGCGCTATTTAACTGATCTCTGAGATAAAAGTGTCTAAACAATCTGCAGGGCTTTTTATAGATGTTGCAGTATTTCCAGTATATGCAGGGTGCCATATCTACTCACCAAACCAACAAATCTTCCTACCTAAAAGACAAAATAGGTTTTACCTCCCAACTCAACTAAGTGTTGGTTAAGTTTAGGCAACTAGAGCTTCTTAGTCAAGGGTTGGAAAAATACCATCTTGGTGGATAGATTGATGGTCAGGAGACACAAACTGCAGTTTTCCTTCAGTTTCCCTCCTTTTCCTCTTGTCTCTGTAGAAAGTACAGCTTCGGGATAAGCAAGAATGTTTTGCTCCTGTTAGCGGAGCATTTTCGAATTGTGCTGACACATCTTCAGTCCAACTCATTCCACATCAATTCACATCCACTTGTGTCTTTGCATATTACCATGCCACAAAATTTTGTGGCAGCATAAAAACATCGTGCTTCTTCCAACTTTGTGAATGAGATAGGACAGTCATTATTTGCTCAAGGAAATATAAGTATAGGTCATTTAAAAGCATTTGAAACAATAACCAATGCTTTTATTTTTTCGGTGAGGACTGTCACCACCGGTCTCTCGATTAACATTTAAATTACACTAACACTATGACACTACATTATTGTCATTCAAAGCATTGCAACTACAACATGTGAATAATCTGATCTGTGGATGTCATGCCTAATGCAGCAGCATCACAGACTGTGTGTGGTGGTCGTGATTGAAAAAGCATTTTCACTAGTCAGCCTGGGAAATTTTA